TATTTAATATTTTTGGATCACAGAAAGAGAAACTGCAGCTAAGAGAGAAAACAAGAAAATCTGATATCTGAATGTTACAGAACCCATTCCCCATCAAAAGGAAGGATCTGCCTTCTATTCTTCTTTTTTTTTTATTTCTCCCAATTATTTATTTATTCATCAAACTGCTATGAAGTGCCTTCTAAATTTATGGTAGACATTATTTTAGGATCTGGAGTTACAAAGTTTAAAAAGGTTTGGCTCAGTTGAGTGAGGCAGCAGAAAAGTAAAGAGACAAATTAAAAAACAAAATGTGACTGGAGCCACTAGAGAGGTAAGCACTGGGTATTAGAGGAGCCCAGCCCAAAGGCCCTTCATGGGGAATAAGAGAACAGGAAGGCTTTTTGTGGAAATGACATTTGAGTTGAATTTTGGAAGTTGCATAGAAAGATAAAAATGGTGTGACCAGGGAGATGTTTTGAGTATGGGGAGAGGAGCGGGAAAGCCTGCGGGAACTGCACATTTGGGTTGGCAAATGGCTCAGAATGACTGGAGCTAAGAGCCCAAGGTATGTGTGCTTTGGAAGGCAGAGGGGGAGTGGCAAGAGCTGAGACTAGAGGGAGGAAAGGGCACATGTAAGGGTCTTCTATACTTCCATGTTGCATGTGATACAGAAAACTCAGCAAGCCACATTTTAAGCAGAGAAGCTGACACAGATCTGTGCTTCATTAAAAAAAAAAAAAATCCACCTTGACTGCAGTGTAGATGACATGGAGGTCAGGAGATGAATTATTTTTGAAAATGGAAGATGTTCTCCTTATCTGAATCCACTTCCCCTAGGCTTGGTCATAATAGGCAAGATAACAAACCATTTGGAGCAAAATTTTCATCCACAGATGAATTTCTTCTATTGTCAACATAAGAGACAAATCATCCCATGGTTTCAGCTTACATTGGGGTAAAACATGGCACAGGATTTATAATCACAGGATTTCTTTGGTTGTTTGGGGAAGGCAGGAATTGCTATGAGGTGGAACCCAGGAGCCCTGACTAGGGAATGTGGAGACCCCAACTTTACAACCTGGACTTGACTGGGTCTGTGGCTTGGATGAGTTACTTCTCATCTCTGGGTATCATTTCTTCCATCAAAAAAACAAAACAAACAACAACAACAACAAACAAAAACAAACAAACTGAGGAACTAAATCATTCCTTGGGTGCCTTCCAGCTCTGAAATCAGTAATATGAGTTTTGTCAGCTGGTTTTAGAATCATGTGGCTCTCAGTTTGGATTCTGCCTCTGTCTTCTGGCTGCATGATTTGGATCAGTTACTTAAGTCCTCCAAGGCTAAGTGTAAAATGGTGATAAGAAAACTATTCTTGCAAGGTTGCTGTGGGAATTAGATACGATACTGTACATAAAGCTCTTAGCACAGTATCAGTGTATAAATGTGTGGCTATTATTATAAATAAACTTCTAAAGTGAAGCTGGATAACTAAAGAGACTAGGGAACAAGGAAATGCTGTCCTAGATCACAGGACAACAAGGAATTAGAGAAATTCAGCCACATGTGAAATCCTTTCTGCCTCAGACCAACCAACATAAAGGGCATGAGACTACCATGCTAACACTGTGATGGGGCGCCTTCTAGTGGCTACATGTAGACATTGACATTTTCATTAAAATGATTGAACAAGTGTGGCTTTGTGGACATATAGATAGACAAACAGGGGGGATTTGGGGGCTCTTTAATCTTAGGTAAAGCTAATAAAGCTAATCTTAGAGAAAGATAGTAAAGTCTCATTAATTACCTCCCTCCTAAGAGTCATTCCTTAGTCAACTTTTCCATAAAAAGACATGTTCTTGGCATTTATAAGAAAAATACTGCAGTTCTAAAAGAGAAAATTACATTTTAAATTAAAACATAAATTATTCTGAACATTGGAATTGCACATAAAATCTTTAGGGTAGTTCTTTATGCCACTAAATTGAAAATAATCTTAGAGAAAGAAATCACCCAAAAGACCATGCAATAGCACTTGTGTTAAACAGAAGGACTAGAGTCTTTCCAGAGGTAACCCTGCAACCAAGTTGACTTTGGCCAAGTGGCTTCATTTCCATGGACCTCAACCTTCTCACGTTAAAATATAGAACTCTAAACCCAAACATCTCCAAGGTCTTTCCTAGCTTTAGTATTTCTTTGATTTGAGAGGAATGTTAATTCTGCGTTAATATAAGGATCAGACTTCAAAGAAAGTTGATCTCAGTTTTCCTTTTTGAACTTGCAGTCCCAATTATAGTAATTTAATGCCATTTAGAGAAGTGTTTTTAACATTTTATAAAACCAACAAAGGCCATCTGGAGTAGAGATGGCTAGTCACTAACAAAGATTCATGTTACTCTCCCATTGTGTAGAACTTTGTGGAAAAACAGCTGTCCAATCAGGGTTGCATTTAGCTGTTCCCTTTGCATCTGGGTGGAAGTGTTTTAGTAGTTTTGGCCAAAGGAATGTAAGCAAAACGTGTGTATTTCCAAGCTGAAGTAAAGTTATCAGGTGTGTGATTCTCTGTTCTTCCTCTTTCCTCTAATGGGACACTTGTGTTACTTGGGGTCACAAGAGGGCTTGAATTACCTATCAGAGATGAGCCACCCATGAGAGCCACCCAATCAGGAGCACCTGCACTGGATTTTGTATGAGTGATGGCCCGAAACATTGGAGGTGGTTTGTTATAGCAGCTAGTTTAAACTGTCCTGATACACTGTCCAACTTCATGATGCTGGAATCCAATTTGAGGCACTGCATTAAAGCAAACTCATCTCTCCAACTGATTGCATTAAAGCAAATTCTGAGAAGGAGAAAAGTAAGGGAGAACTGGGAAAAAATCAAAATAGAGAAAGATTAGTCTGGTCTTCATTCTATGATTAGGAAAATAGCTTTGTTCTATTGAAAAGATTATTATTATTATTATTGTTATTATTATTATTATAGTGTTGCATTATGTGACCAAAATTCATGATAAGAACTTAGAGAAGGAAAAGTTTATTATTTGCTTGGGACTCATGGTTTCAGAGGTTCAATCCCTGGTCTATTGACTCCATTGCTCTGGGCCTCAGGTGAGGCAGAAACATTATGGCCAAAGGCAAAGGCAAACTGCTCAGTTCATGGCAGATGGGAAGCAGAGAGGAAGGGGCCAAAGGCAAGATATCATCCCCATGGGCAACCTCCAAAGATACTTCCTTTATCACGCCCCATCTGAACCACCCGATAATTTATTCATCCACTGATGAGGTTACAGTTCTTGTCATTGCCTACAAGCCCCACCTTCTTTCTGCACCGGGGAATCATAATTTAAAAACACAAGGTTTTGGGGAGACATTTTTAGATCCAAACCACAACAGTTACACAAAGGAAGTCTGATGTGTACTCTTTCTACCTAGTTACCAGTGAGTATAGAAGACACAACTCTTGCTGATTATACCATGTGTGTTAGAACAGAAGAAATTTCAACAATCACCAATCCAGGTAATAAGAGCTAAGGAGTTAACTTGCTTTCTGAAACTTTCCAATTCTTCTGCATTTGGGGGTGATATTGTTAATGGGGGGGGGCGGGTGTATGGGAGAATCATTGGTTACACCCAGTAACAGACAGTAGGTAACTGATGTCTTGTTTTTGACAATAGAAAAAATATGAAAATATGGAGGTCAAAAATGAGCATTTTATTTAGTTACATCTTTCTGAAAATGGAAGACACTAAATGAACATACATAACATTCTATGGAAAGATTTTCTTGAGAATCAGTGATGCAGACAAATATAAACAGGAGTCAGAAAAACCATCATAGTACAAACAGGACTGTGGGACTGATACTGGGAGATGGGAACATCTGACCCAGTTATAGAAATGAAACCCAAAAGCACGAACACACAAAGTTTTTATTAGCAGCTTTGCCTCAAGGAGAGTGAGACAGCACTGATAGAGATCAGGTTGCTCAAAAAACAGAGAAAGGGGACAAGTTTTATTCATGTGTAGGGGGTTGCCTAAGTGAGCTAGAATTAGAATTTTTTCCCTGGTCAAACATCCTGACCAAGAGGAATGGGCAGTCATTTTATTCCAGGAACTGCTGTTTCTTCTGTTGGTGTTGCAGCCTGCACAAATGTCTTGGCCTTGTGGTAAGGTTGGGCTTTTGTAGCTACTGGAGGCACGTGGGTGGGGGTAGTTCATGTTTTTAATGACTGACAGGTTAAGGGACCAGGAGTTAGTTTGTCTTTTGTAGTGATCCTTAGCAGTCTCATTCTCCCATGTAGCTTATTTTGTAGATGTTATTCCAAAGGCATCCTAGCTTTTATGATGCCCTAGTTTCTGTGGTTGACAAAACTCTGGGAGACTGAGGTAGGCAGGGAAGAACACAGACTATACTTTTAATGGGTCATGAGTTAAGATCTAGGGAGTACATTTGCCTTTTGTCCCCAAGGTGGTGCTGACTCAGGCCAATGCTGGCCTCTAAAGCCACAGGCTGAATAAAATGCTGTCCACAATCAGAAAATTACAAGTGCTTAATTAGCAAGAATCCATAACAACTCTACAGAGGAATGAACTTCTAATGATGTAAATGCCTCACGGAGTTAAAACTCTCAGGATTTCATTGTACTTTACAAACTAACTTATTATTGAACGTCATTTAACCAAATCCTGCCAGGGACTTCTTCCAAGAGACCGATCTCATTGCTTAAATTACAGAGTACTCTCTTGTCTAACCACCCTTTATCCTTAAAGTTTCTCACAGGCATTAATAATCAATTCCAGCTTGTATCTGAGCATTTAGCTATTGGTGTTCTTTTATGTGTTCTCTCCCTTCTTAGGTAATAGGCTTCTTTAGGGAAGAAATCAAGATTTACTCATCCTTGTGTCCCCTACTTTGTTCAACATAACAGATATTTAACAAGTGGTTACTGAATTAATGTTTTTCTTTTTGCAATTCAATATGTATAATAATGCTAATAATTTAGAGACCAAATGACTACTTGTTTTCAAAATTTTATTTACACTGAATACTCAGTATTTTCTTTTAATAATTTTATCAGAAGATAAAATTCCAAAACTTAAAATCAGACATTTTATAGTATGTCACAAATGAGTATGGAAGGAACAGTTTAATCATTTTTGAGGAAAGCCTTTTGTAATTCTACAAACACTAATACTTAACAATAATCTTTAATATAGATATGTACAATATGGCATCATATTTAAATTTATGAAATAGTTTAAATCACTAATTTTGTTATAGAACATTCCAAAATTCAAACTAATAAAAAGAATCCAATAATGCTGGTAACATTTGGGAAAAAAAATAGCAAGAGATTTGTCAAAAGTCATGCAATACGTCTAGTAAACTTACACGCAATGACACATGTCAAGTCCATAAATTTAAAGGCATATGATTGACTTAAAACATGCTAGAATCCAAATACAACTGTATAACTCATAGACTGAAACAAGTGCTTTGTGGTAACCTATAAAATAGGTATACAAACTGAAAGTATTTGAATAGACTTCAAAATTCCTAAGAGACTATCCTAGGAAATCTCAATGACAGCAAATCAGGCATTTTCTCCTGAAGTTCAAAGTTCTTAGGAGTATATTCATAAACATTAACAGAGGAAAATAGAAACAACTCAGGTTTTATGAACCAATTTTACCTATTCAAATTTAGTTCCATATAGAACCCTAATCATAACCACAGCTTCTCTAGGAATTTTCCTTTTCTCCTGATTTTGTGGGAATATATTTATTACCTCCCCTGTTCCGGAAGGATTTAAGGTAGAAGACAGATTCAGAAATACCAAAAAGTACAATAATAGGATAAACAAAAAGAAAACAGAGTTTGGGGATTAGCACTCATAAAAATATTTAAGAAAAGGTCAGGAAATAATAACCAAAAATTGTGTTACATTATTTTCTTACAGTGACTTTCTGAAAAATTTTTGAGAAAACAAATTACTGGTGAACTGGAGATGTGGATCAAATTTCTTTGTTCAATTTTGTTAATATTGATGGAGCACATGATTATCAAAATATTGTGTTCTGTTTTTGTGCTTCACTAAAAGAAGTTTTTCATGTGACACTAGATTTAGTCACATGGTAGAGGACAATGCTGGTGAAAAACAAAATGAGGGTACACTGACTCAATTCCCACTGAGAAATCCATCAGCTGGGTACCTGTTGGTGACTTATTTGTAGATAGGTAGATACAAATCAAGAGGCCAGACGAACATGGCTCTTCTTTGGCCATGGGACAGAGCACCAATTCTAGGTCTTATGACTGTAGCAGCTTATCCTCCAGCGCCCTTGTTAGGACCCAGCAAAGTCAATGGGAAGAAGTTAAAGTAAAGAGCAGGAGGCTGACTCAGATTGGTATGGTGAGGCCATAATCTCCACTGCTGCCCAAAGAGCAGCAGGGATTCTGATGGTGCTTGGAGTGCATATTACACAGACCACTTCTGTGGTTGGGGAAGGAAGAACATTCTGGAGAGTAGGCTGAGGCAGCACACTAAACAGTTTCAGGGAAATATGAATAGGTCTATTTATCTTTATTCTATAGGCACAGATTTCAATAAATGATAAAAGATCTTGTATGTAAAAGAGCTAATTAGTAAAAGAAGCAAGGATAAAGGACATAAGGGAAGTAGGGAAAAAAGAAAGGCATTAGGCTGTTCTCCTATGAGGTGTGGCACAGGTTTAAAACTAGATTAACGACCAAATTAAAACCACCTATCTAATGACTAAAATTAACTATTTGCCTTCTTTTTTGAAGGTGAGTGTTCCTAAGCAGTACTGCTGAGTTTTGGTTAGGCTGGGATTCTTCCTAACCCAACTTCATTCCTATGAAGTTCAAGTCTAATAATCTATAAAAGTGGAAACTGCAGTGCTCGAGTGGGGTGGCAATGACTACTCTAGCCCAATGATACCCTTCAGAACACAGACAGGGCCAACCTATCCAATTAGCAATGCCTCAGGTTCACAATATTCTGAAAGGCCCACAAAAATGTTTTCACGTTTTTTTAACTTAACGAAAAAAAAAAAAAGAAATTTATGATTAAAACAACAACAACAACAAAAAAAAAAACCCAAAAAAAACATTTTAAACCTAAATTTAAACAAATTCATTTTATAGAAACATAATTTTAAAATACAGTTTTAAAATTTGTAGGGAAGAAGGGGTGCAAGAAAGCAAAGTACTGGGGAGACTGAGGCACTAAGCAACTCAGTGAGACCCTGTATCTAAATAAAATATAAAATTGGGCTGGGCATGTGGCTCAGTGGTTGAGTGCCCCTGAGTTCAATCTCTAGTACACCCTGTCCCCGCCCCAAAGGCAAAGTACCTGGGGCAGAGAAAATTCATCAGATACCTCTAACCAACAGTAGAAAGAAACCAAGATCATTTAAAAGGATTACAATCTATAATTAAAAAGACTGTTCTCTCAAAGAACAATGGTTCAAGGTTAAAATAATGGAGGAAGAAAAGAGAGTCTGATATTACTGGTCTTGTTTCACTGATTTTTCTTCTTTTGAATATTTCTTGGGAATTAGATTTTTAGAGAAAACTGTTTAATATTGAAGAAGTACTTATATCAATCTTCATTAGCCAAGCCAGAACAAGAAACAAAGTTAAGCTCATTATCTTATAATCATGTGCAATATAATTAAATAACAGACTCAGAATGAAGAGACCTGGATATTTTTGAGTTCTTTTTCTGCTTCTGGAAACATTATTAGAGGTGGGTTTTTCTTTTGGAGTCTGCCTCCTGAATTTCCTATATTACAAGCTCTCTCAATTTTAGACTTCCTCTTTGCTTCTCCAAAGCCCTGGCTGCAACTGCCTAAGGTTGGTGTATGTTTAGAATATGAAAAGAGAATAAAGGAAGCAAGCAGAATGACTAGGAAAAGAAAAGAGAAAAATAGTAAATTTTCTGTATTTAAAAAATATTTTATAAGATAAAAATACTTAATGTAAATATTAATACTATAAATATTGTTTTAAAGTTATTTTTTAAATTGTTCTCTCAAGGCCCTACACTATGACAATTACCATCCTTGAGTTCCTTATAGTACTGGACTGGTTAGTAAATATGGTTAACCATTGACATTTAGAAGCCCAGAGTTGAGAACAGTACTTTTAACATTTTCTATCATCCAAATTCATCAGGATTATAGGGATATATATCAATCCGGAGAGCTAAAAATTATCACTTCCTAGTGTCCGTTCCTCCATGTGCAACGAGGAAACAGATCAAAAGACAAGCACAAACGAATAAATTATTGCCTTTCATAGAATCATATACTTCTTGTGCTTGAAGGGAACACCAAAGTCATTTAAAATTCATACACTTAATTTACAACCGAGGAGCCTAGGGTTCAGAAAGATAATATGATTTAAGTCACACAGAAAAGCTTTTACCAGAATCAGATTTCTTGATTTTTTAGTCTAGGACTCTTATATTTGTAACCCTCAAGGTTTTTGTTTTTTTTTTAAATTCACACAGAGTATGGAAAAACTACCAGTTTTCTTTTCAAAATGTTAATCTGAAAACTGCAGAATTTCAAAATATGAAATTTCAAAGAAGTAGACCAACAAATAAATCATAAAATTTTAGACCCAGAAAGATACTAGGAAGTTAAATTGGACCCTGGCTACAGAAAATAAGTTAGATCAGGGAAGATAAACTACACTTCCCCCAAATCACAAGGTTGAGACTCAAGATAACCTAAAACTGGAAAGCTGCTTCTTTCAATACTGCCTTATTCTTCCTTGGCTACTGATTATAACCAAATAAAGCAAAAACATGGAATCACATCCAGTCTAGATATAATAATTGTTATTACTATACCTGGAGAATAGGTATAAATCAATTCTCTGCTTAATAGAAATTAACAAATTAATTTTGTTAAATTTTCATGAATGAGGCAGCATAATGCATGTTTTCATTTGATAATGTACTTAAGTGTGGATCAAAATTCTGAGTTTTGTTGTTTTTATTATGAGATGGTGTTTTAGACTCAGGAATCTAATACCAAATTAGACTGCAGTTCTTTAGATCAGCAGTCTATATTTTGTGAAAGCAATGACCTAAGAATGATTTTTTCATTTTTAAAATGTTATTTAAAAAATTGAAGAATTTCTGACAGAGACCACACATGGCCAAAAAGCTGAAACTATATAGTAACTGGACCCTTACATTATAAAACTTTGCTGGATTTTGACAGTTCTCTGAGTCAGGGCTATCCCTTTCACCTTGAGGTAAAGACCTTCTCCCTCTTTTCCCAATTAAAGCTTTGCTTATATACTCATAAAAAAGAGAAAAGTTTGCTGGCCTCTATTCAGAAAGTACATGAAACTGGGATTGAATATGTAAAAATACATGAAGGCTTTTTTGCTTGTTCTGCTTCTAAAAATTAAACCTCTAGTGGAAGAAAAAAAAAAAATCTTGTTTGAGGGTTACAATTACCAGATCCAGTTAAATGATGTTTTATCAGACTAATGGAAAGTGAACATATAATTGGAGCTAATTATTTATGCATGTGAAATTCATAAACATTTCAGACAGCTGAGAAAACAACATATTGAAAAGTATTGTTGGCTTTTTAAAAACATAATGGAAGCAAATGGGCAATTCAGGACTGAGTATACGCCACAGTGGCAGGGCAATGGCCTAACATATGAAGCCCTGGCTTTGATCCCTAGCACCAAAGGAAGGGGGAACAAAAAAAAAACTCACCAAAACCAAACCCTGGTAATTTAATTCTCTTCCTCTGGTTTCTTCTGTTGGTTTTTAAAATATTCTCCTCATGCCTCTCATGGCCCCCTACAGCATGTTGTTATTTATTAATTAGTAGTTCTCCACTATGTTAATTATCTCAGTGACCACCCATCCATATCTCATTTGCAATCCTGAATAACAAATACACAAATCTCACCAGAACATATGCAAATAACGGAAGTGCTTCTAATGAGACGTGAGATGCCAAAATGAAAAATAGTGACTAGTTCAGGGAAAAAGCAAAAATTAAGGATAATCCACTTATCAATCTGAAAGTAACAGTAAAGCAGACCACCTGCATAAGTTTTCATAGTCTACTGCACTGCGTGATAAAGGACAGGAACAGTGTGATGGGCCCTGGTTTACACAACATTCTGATAACCACTATATGAAAACAAGTCCATATCTCCTCCTTTCCATAAATTTATGTGGAAAAGTGTAGATTTTTGTTCACTAGAGAAAAATTATTCGCAAAGTCATGCCACAGTTAAATTACAATCATTTCAAGGTAATAACTTTAAAAGTGGGATCTATTCTATAGATTAAAATGTCTTACTTTAATAATTACATTAATAATTGCTTTGCAGTATCTTCAGCCACTTCATTTTCTTGCTTGCTTTTGTAATTGGAAAGGAACAAATTTTCTATTTGCGTCAAGAATTCCTCAGCAATGAAGCAATTAGTTACTTTGCTCAGAGTTTTTCTCAGACACTCCAAAAGCTAGTAAAAAAGAAAAAATTTATACATACATACATAAAAAGTATAAGAAGAAGAACTACTTAAACATCACCATTTTGTCTCTTTCCAAACCTCACATTCCTTAACGATCAAATGAGGAACTCTCCTAAGAATGGCTAAAGGCTGACTTATTTTCAACTGCCTGAGGAAGTATTGGAAACCAGTGAGGAATGCTTAGCTTGGTTCCTTTACAACTTTATGTAAGAAAATAAACCTATGATTGAATATCTGATGGTCTCTACTTTGGACAAATTTGTGACTTTTGCTCCATTTTTTAGTTGTTGCACTCACAAAGTAAAATAATATTAGATTTTTAAAAGAAAAGCTATGGGATCTAGTGATGTAGTAAAATGCCTATTAATTCATTTTTGTCTCAGATGTAGAACACCTAAAAAAACTTACGTTGAGCAACAAATAAACTAAGATAACTTTTAAATTATTATGTTTTTAGGTTCTATTCTTTTGATAAAAAGGTGAATGAGTAGTGTTTGAAATAATATATTTTCATACATATAAACACAGAGGAAATATAAGCTCTAGATTATGAATTTCAATTTATCTTAATGTTTATATACCAATTTCATTGAACTATTTGCCATATTGAAAACTTGAGACTTAATGGATTAATGTGCAAGGTTATGGGGTCAACCTCCAGCACTACAAAGAAATAAAACAAATCCAAAAAAAAAAAAAAAAACATGTAGATAAAAACATAAGTCTCTACTGTTCAAAAATTAGAATGTTAGAATCTACTTTCTGAGAAATGTGTATATTAGTCTTTCAATAGCATATGGAAAAATGTGATTATAAAATTAAGAAGTAAAAGACACTGAAAATTAATGTTTAAAAATTTTCTATTCCCAAATTGCTACCAAAAAAATCCCAAGACAAATGTTGCCAATCTACTCATTATAGAAGCAAAATGAGAAGTGAGATAAAATAATTCAAAGTTCTTATTTCCTACTAGAAATTTAAATAAAAAGACCATTTAAATTTAATTGTTAGATTTGCACTATCATTCTTAAAAATGATCAATAGTTAAGGCTAGAGGGAAAACATGGTGCTTTTGAATTTAATAAAATGAGAAAAATGTTCTCCATTGTGCACAATAATAATCTGCTAAGAAATTTATCAGTCAACACTTGACAAATTTATTCTAAAATAGTATTATTTCTCTGTGCAAGTTTGGGCAACAAAAACACATTACTAATTATCTTCTAGAAATTAACTTTAGAAAGGAAAAAGCAATAAAGAAACTATATAGAAAATGTATCCACAAAGCATTAGGCATCAAGGGAAAACACATCTAGATGAATAGCTCTGGAATCTGTGAACAACAGAATCAATTAAAATGAAGGCAGCTTACTTTCTGCAAACAAGTCAGGTCAGAATCCCGGCGAAAGATTTTATCCATGGGGACACTGCTGTAGAAAGAAATATGAAAACAAACTGATGAAACAAATACTATAAGGTAATCAGTTGTGTAATAAACTATCACTGATGCCATACATCACAGTTTTATATTTAACTTGGGTTTTCTCTAAAACATGATTTAATGAGAAACACTGCAGATGTGCAACCATCTCAAACCACAACACATACCTAGGGGAGAGCCTGTATTTTTCTATTATCCATCTTGTCTTTTCAAATACTAATCCCCACCGAGGTTCTTCTAACATCTGTTGTACTTCAAATTTGTAAGGTAAACCTAGAAAATCATAAAGAAGCGTATTTTCAACTATTTCTTAATCTCCAGTCTTCTTGTAATTACTTAAAATTCCCTTCAGTGTTTTAACAACCACAGCACGGCAGACCAGCTGAACAGCACTTTAAACATAGAGGGCAGTCATTAAATATTTATTGCCTGACTATACTTGGTCCACCAAGCATATTAATGCCAAGCTATTAATAATAATGAAGAAAAGTAAAAGTGACACTTTCGTAACAATTCTACACAAGGCACTATGAGAGGTGGGGTGAGCACATAATATGTTATCCAAACCAAAAGACTTTTATAATGAAAGGAGACAAAATTAATAACTATGCCTAAACCACAGCTTAAACTGGGATAGTCGTAGTCAAGACAAGACATACAGCCATCCTAGTGATAAGTTTGTTTTTTTTTTAAAGACAAGTGATATCAAGCAGCATTATTCCTATTTTTCAGAGGAGAAAATTCAAGTTAAGCTATGTTAAATACAATGTTCAAGTTAGTAAAGTTGGAGCTTAGATTTCACATCACCTCCCTATAGATGCTAGTCTAAGACTAGACATGGAATGGGA